AATTTTCAGAAGAAATACTTTTTTATATTTTCATTGTAATTTGATTTGTGGAATTTTGAAAATATTTTACTTGAAAGGATCAAGAGATGGCAGGTATATTTTTATTCATAACGTGATATACTAAAAATTTAAATGTAAAAGAAATCAAAATTTTGTACCGTATTCATAGCATTGAAAGTGTTAGTGGAACTTCTATTTACACACTAGTCATGCAGTCAGCAAGGAATTGTGACATTGATGTATTTAACATTTATTTTGTAAGGAGATGAGATTTAAACTCCCGTATTGTAATCGGGGCAAATCTGTACACTTCAGTTACAAGTGATCAAGAGGGTAGCAGATATAAAAGCTTATACTGTCCTACAAACATTATTTCCCAATGGCAGTACTTTGTATCTCACTGATTTCTTTTATGTCAGTAATGTCTTTGGTTTATATAGTACGTGTTGGTTTTTCTTCTACCTGCAAGTAGTCACATAGGCAGAACACTCAGATTTTCCCCAACTGCAATACTATCGGGCTGCTGGCTGGACTTTAACTCTAGGGTTAGTGGTTTATCAGTATGCTAGTCCAATCCTCAGAATGATGGATTATGTGTAAGCTACAACACATAAAAAATGAAGGTTAATGTGGCTTTAAAAGTTAATATTTTTGCACATGGAGTTGTGTATCGGCAGACTTGCTTGTGACGTGCTATGGGAAATCTGTCACGTAACTGTTACTCTAAGGTGCATGACCTGATTGTTTGGTGTCATTCAACATGCTTTTGCATGCAGAGATTTATTAATGAGAGCATGATATTGATATGCATGTAACTGGTGTTCATTGCAGATAAGTCAGTCTCATTTGAGAAGTCGGTTTCTTTTTCTGATGAGCCCCCTGATATGAACTCGCCTAAACAGCACTCACCACAACACACAGGTAATTAGGGGCATTGGCAAAAACTGTAGCATAGAACCTTGATTAACCAGTAAAGTACTAACACTTAATATTTCCTTATTTTTTATTTATACTAAATGAAATATATTATCTCTTGGTAACCTACTCTGTATGAATTCTTCAGCATCTGTGAAACAGTTTCCAAAATATAGAGACCATACTTTAAAAGATAATACTGCTCAGATCGAAACAGGTTAACTCAGTGGTAATGTGACTGACTCCTGGCTTAATCCAGTTATGCATCAGCTTGGAACTGAATGTTCTGGTTGAGGGTTTGCATGGTGTTTCTCAGGCTCTGCAGGCAGATTACATAACAACAATGATGGCAACAGCAGCAGCTTAAAATATGCCACAACAGGTAGCTTATGAAATGAAATCCGTGGCGTAACAGCTCCAGAGAGCCAAAGCCGACTAGCTTGACTGCTGGCCTCACGTTCACATGCCTAAGTAGAGGTGAACGATCATCCAACCAGATATAGGGTGACGTGTGGTCAGCACAACGAACGCCCAGCCATTGCTAGCTTTCCTGACCAGAACAGCTAGCTTAATTTGTGCATATAATGATTAAGTCACCATATTGAAAATCATGTAACAGTATGAAGTTGGCTTGGGTTGTTGCGCTCTATAGGCTGGTAGAAGTTTACCAAATTCTACCAGATTATATGGTGAAACAACGCAAAACACAGTCATCTTCATAATCACTGCTGTGAGAACCTCATATCTCAAATGCAATAGTAATATAGGGAAAACATGGCTCATCACTTGGAGATTGTCTTGTGGGTGACTGTATCTCAGAAATGGGCAGACGTCAGAAAAGTTGGTAAGATCACAAATGGTGGTGGCATTTTTCACAAAAAACATTCCATTATGCTGCTTTTGTTAACGTCCTTAATTCTAACACTGCACAGCATTAAAAATAATGTATTTCTACAAGTCATGCTTTTAACATTAGAGATAGCAGTAGCCATCATCCAATCCAATTCCACATGGCATTATGATGTAAAAGACTGACATCAACTTCTTCATCACTGTGCAAACTTCAGATTTCATATCACACTGCATGCAGGCGAGTTTTGTATGTGCTGCTTACCAATTTTGTTCCCATAAAGTTTACCCCTGTAGATGAGTCCACATGGAGTGTGGAGAATTCTAACTCGAGTATTACTCGTCTTTAAAGTATGGTCACAATCTTGATGCATTTAAAGGCGTATGAAAGATTTCTGTTGCTCTTCATAAGTTCTGTTTCAGTGTTATATTTTTGTCTTCTTCTAAAGTTAAATATGTACATAAATTTCAAATAATAATATGTTAACGTTTTATTTGAATAATTTTTAACAATTACTATAGCTTCCAAAACTTTTGGTTGTTTCCGTTTACTTTCTAAATCAATCTGTAAATGTGCAATAATTTTTATTGGTGTATGTATACATTAATTTTATTAGTGACTTAACTAAAGAGAATATTGTATTGGGTTATTGAGGGGTATGTAGCAGGGATATATCATACCAGTTATTTGGATAATCAAGGTTACAAGAGTTTTATGCTTTATCAAAAGATTATTTAAAATTGTACAAAACAGTTCTGAGTGGTGTTATGTGGGATTAAAGTTCCTCAGGACTGACAGGTAATGTTCGTTCAGGTGCAATAAATTTCTGCAGAGTTGGGATGGCAGAATCAGTGTTGAATGATGCAATGGATCAGGTGTTAAGAGCATGTAATATGCTAATGATTGGTTGTTCTATCCTTTGAATGCTTACCCCAGCGGATTCGAAACCTACTAAATCAGCGATAAAGTCTTCAACACTCCCTAGAATGTCATCTCAAGGTAAAGACATTTCTTCTGAATGGTTTAAAATGTAATTAAGTTTAAATGGACTCATCCTATTTGTTTAGTCCCTAGCAGATGACAGCCACTTTCTGCAAACTACCTCTTAAACTTTATTGTATCAGAATATTGACCTTAAATTTCCATACTCTAGGGCTACTGACTGGACTTTAAGGCTTAGTCAACCTGATTCCCATTAATGAAATTGGAAGTGTTTCTATTCACTACTATACCCAGAATGGCTCTGGGGTCACTTGCCCTAAATATAGAGGGAGAGCTTTTTCCCCAGAGTAAAGATTCCAATTGGATGTGAAACTGACCATTCCAGGAGAAAGTTATGTTGTTCTTTATCTCTTTGTACCCTATTCAGCTCATAGTATGGTGTTAAAGGCCAGGAGTAACTCTGTTAATGTAAGTAGTGATAGAGTATCATTAAACAACCTGATTTGATGTGGTGGTGGTCCAATTTTTGTTACAGTGAAGCAGTGTTTTCAATCTTAATACCTGTGCCTTTGTAGCTTTTATGTGTCCTAGAAACAGAGCTTTCTATTGATGCATAGTAATGGCTCGTATGAACTGTGTTTCGTATCTGTTTCACAGAGCGGACAGAACGTGATCGACATAAACCGGCACCCCCTCCGAAGCCTGTGTCACTGTCACCTGGGCAATATGAGGGCAGACATGTTTACAGAGGTGAGTTTCTGCTATACGTCATGTACACGGTTAAAGTGGGCTGGGTACTGATAAGTACATTTTTAAAATAAACTTATAGTTTCATTATACCTGCCTGTGAAACAAGTTAGGAAATGTACGTAGCATAACAAATTCTAACACATTCTCCAAAATTTGACATGTTAGTGTGTTGGTTTTGCTATTTCCAGCTGGCAGTGGTCAAATTTGTGTGAATTTCTGTTGTGTTATGTCAATGTGTAATCTGCGGTTGCCTCACTGATAATATGTGAATGATTTTGTTAATTTTGAAGATTTCTGTCTTCTGGGTTGTTGCGCTGTGTAGTTTGGTCGATGTTAACCAACATTTCACTGCTGTGAAAACCTCAAATCTTACATTTCTTAGTTTTATTTTGGTGGAGCTAATGGTTCTATAATCAAGGGGATTATGGATTATACGTTGCAGTATTTTTGGGACAGTCACATTTTTTGGGGTTGTTAGGGTCTGACAGATGTTCAACAGAAGACAGCTTGTGAGCCACTGAAATTTACAGATTGCCTTTTGAGCCCATGTAGGAAAGCTGACATGCAGAATATAAGCAATTATCCAAGAAAAGGTGAACTTTTGATAAAAGTAGTTCTTTATTTAATTTCAAGAAAATCCTCAATGCGTTGCATGTTAGGTGGATGATGTAATACATTGTATGTGATGTGAGCTGACCTCGCTGAACAATCTTATGTTGGCAGATCTGCAACTGACACCTGAGATGTACAACCAGCTGCGTGGGTTGCAGAAGAAAGCCAAAGATCTTCGCCAGGAGGTTCGTAATCTTCGCCGAATGTCACAGGCTCAAGCGCACTCAGTGCGTGAGACAATACGTGACACCTTCATGAAAATCAGGTGCGGTTATATGATGGACTGGGAAGTAATATGGACTGTATAAATTACCATAACGTATAGAAGACAGATATCAAGATGGGTATTAAAGAAATAGGTTAGAATTGAAACTGGTTCAAGAGGTTCCTGTGATAATGTTGGTGAACCTGCAAATTGCATAAGAACTGGATATCTTTTGAATAGTTTTAAGTAGCTGCTTAACATGGATTCAGATCCAATAGACTGTAAGAATGTGAACAGTTTTGCAAATAAGATTTAATACAGTACCACTTTATAAAACAGCTGGAAAACCTGACCTCTTCTAACATAACCTATATTTTCAGAACTATAATGTAGCTTGTCACAGTTCTTTCTGTGTCAGAAATGAATCATCACGATGAACTGGCAACATGGGATCTCTAAAACTGATGCTTCATTCATTTTGAAGAAGTTACACTGTCTTTTATATTTATTTTATAGAAGTACTTTGTATATGTACCTTACTGGTGATTGTCTTTTTTAGTGAGTCCATATTTCTTTTTAGTACACTTGCTCACTTATTTTAGTTACAGTTCATTAGAATCTGCAGAGTATTGTGTACAACAGTGATATACAATGTACAGTTCATGGTCCACAGAAGACAGTATGGTTTAGCAGAGGGGAAAGTGGAATCTCCTCTCATATAGATATAATTTGTATATTTTACGGGGTTTTAGATCTTTTGGCCGTGTTGTGTTGTTACAGTACTTAACAGGGATACATTGATAGTAACATGAGACAGACTTATGTTTAGACTGAGTATCAGAAAAAGGAAGAATGTTTTATAGGGAACAAGTTTCTTTTTATTTTGTAGTAGATTGCTTATCAACCATTCCCCACCACATGACAATATTTGTGATTATTATTAGTCTGCAAGGCTTGACGAATGTTGTTATAGAGCAATGCTCCTGATTGGGGGTGAAGAGGCATGGGCTATTTCTGGTGATGCTGATAAAATGCGACTCAACAGAGAAGAAGATGCCTACAAGCAGGAGATGCTGCGATTAGAGAAGGACTTGACGTAAGTTAGGTTCTGTGTGCATGGCAGTGACTGCCTGGCTTTGAATTATCATCAAGTTTTGACTTATACAGGGTGTCCCAGGAGGAAAGGTCAATATTCTGGGAGGTCATAGTATTGGTCATTCTAAACAAAAAAGTGTTTATGTACATGTGTCCTATTCCAAACGGTTTTTGAGATATAGCTGTTTCACTGTACAGTTGCCAAATTGTTGATAAGAAAGAGATATTACATACTGTTTCTAACACCGGTATTTATTGTTCAAGTAACACAGTTGGTACAGTTTACCTAGTACAATACATTTTCGAAAATTACACCGTCAGCATCAATGCACTTTGCAACTCGTGTGAGGACATGGCGCATTGCTCGCCTGAGTGCATCTTGACGTTTGTTTATGCGGGCGATAACATCCAATAGGGAAGGACAATATTGGGCGCCAAATCCAAACTACTGTACAGTGAAATCGCTCTATCTCGGAAACTGTTTGGAATAGACTGACCGATACTATGACCTCCCAGAATTTTGACCTTTCCTCCTGGGACACCCTGCATTGATTGCAGTGTAAAATAAAGAAAGAAAGTTTTTTATTTTATTATAGCATTTACCATTTAAATTACTTACAATTTATTACAATGAAACAGCCAGTTGTACCAACTTTGAAAATAATATTATTCTTTACTTTATACCAGATTGTATCATCATTTACATTTCATGTTGAATGTTCATGGAAGATCAGTAATAGATGTGTGTGTTCATACAGAGAACTAGAGAGTACTGTAGAGGAGTTGCGAGGAAATGTTATCAACAGGAAGACCCGGGTCAACATGTCGGATGTGGAGAATATGGCGCTCATACTCAGTAAGTCAAGGTCAGTATAACAGTGACCTGACATCTGGTTCAGATGGAAGGAACTAGCATTGCAAGCAGAATTTTAATGGAAAACTGTTGAGGAAATGGGACAATAATACAGGTAGCCCTCAATTTGCACCGATTCAGAATAACACTAATTTTGAAACCAAAAGAGTCAAAAAGTGGAGGGGAAAATGTTACTATTATTTATAACGTTTTACAATGTATCTCGTACTGATTATTATACTAAATCGTAATTCTTACATCGCTGATTTTGAATAAAAATTATAAATACAGTCTTCTCTTCAGTTATGTATGTTTTGTTAACGCGAATTTGCTCCAATGAGATCAATGAATCGGTAAAAGCTGTTTGTGAAATGCAAACTTTTGCATATGCGAGTTTGCTTCTTATGCAATTTCATTCCTGGCGCTTTAAACTTTCAAAGGACTAATTTAATCTCTGCGGAGATACCAGGGTTATTTTTACTACGTGATTCTCTATAGCTCGGCGTCTTACATGAATGCAACTATCCCATAACAGCAGAGATGACTGTACACATCAATTGCAGTCAATCGCGGGGACCAACGAATTGCTGATTGCAAGTGTATAAAATATAACTTTTAAATTCATTTTATTTACGTTATTTTAGAACTTCAAATGTAATGCCATTATATTACTCGTCAATGTTTGGGTGCTGCGAACTCATGTCATTGACTTCCCATTGATTTACATTATAAAAGAGTTTCAATTTACACCAATTCCGATTATGCCAGTTCGTCTAGGAACGCATCCGCGGTGTAAATCAAGGGCTACCTGTATAATTGAAGGCAAAACTCATGGTCATGTCCACTGACTGTCTTAGATATTGTCAGTGTTGAACACATGGATGACTTGGTATTGTCACCAAGTGGTTGACACTGGTGTTCACAGTAGTGGTCATTGTCGCCACTGACTACTGACACCATTTGCTGAACACTAGGATTGAGGAAGCGCTACTCCTAAGAAATAATGTGTCAAAGGCTAGAAGAAAAGTAATAATAAAATACTGAACCTCAAGTCTTACATAAAATACTGAGTTCACCACAAAAGAAAAAGATTACTGAAAGGCCTGTATCATACATTGTATGGTGATCTCCAGCAAGATGGAAATCAGTTGAAGAATTTTTGGCTTTTTATGTAGGGAAGTATATTTAACAAGTGTATAATATTACAGCTGTCGTATCATCAGGGAAATTAACTAAGAACAACCTGATGGAGCAGCAATGTGAGAGGTTGAAGCGGATGGTGAAATGTAGTTGATGGAGAAATAGCATTTTGTGATTGAAGATAATGCAGTACTGATAGAACACTCGATGATAATTGGTTACCTAGATCAGTGTTCTACAACCAGTTTGCCTTCACACATTTCTAGGTGTGCCACAGAGTTTTATAATCAATTGTGTACTTGCACAGTTAAAAAAAGACAATATCTTTTGCAATTATAATTCAAAATACACAAACACACACACAATTTCATCACTGATAGTTTTATCTGATATGTGTAATGTTTCTTTAACATGCCTGCATTCTAAAACAGCAGGTATTTATATGTAGGTACAGGCATACCTCGGAGATATTGCGGGTTCGGTTCCAGACCACCGCAATAAAGTGAGTCACACAAATTTTTGTTTCCCAATGCATATAAAAGTTATGTTTACACTATACTGTAGTCCATTAAGTGTGCAATAGCATTATGTTTAAAAAGACAATGTGAGAATTACCAAAATGTGACACAGAGACACGAAGTGAGCACATGCTTTTGGAAAAATGGCGCTGATAGACTTGCTCGACGCAGGGTTGCCACAAATCTTCAATTTGTAAAAAAACGCAATATCTGCGAAGCACAATAAAGCGAGGTATGCCTGTATATATTTATGGCTATCAATAATTTTGTGCTCCCTTTCATGAGGCAAAATTTTGTGGTGTGCTATCATGTGTCTTTGACAAATCAGGGTGTGCCACAGGTTAAAATAGGTTTGCAGAACAATGTCCTAGATTTTCATTGTTTGACTGAAACATGAGTTTATTTGCTAGGAGGTTTAACGTTGGGTAACAATTGCATTTCTCAGATGGTGGAAATGGAGGTAGGCTGAAACGGTGTCTGTAATGGAACCAGAGCAAAACTATGAGCAGTATGCTGTTATAACCTAGCCTTTCCCAGCAGTCCCAGGTCGTAGATTTACGGCATGTAAAAGAACCTTGCGAGATGTTTTGTAAGCAAAATTCAGCGGCCATTTCTCACCCAAGTCTCTCCTGATTGACTACTAGATTGCTCTAGCAGACAAATCAGGATTGAGTAGAAATTGCGCAGAGGCAGTGGGCTTGTCACTCACTTCGAAGACAAAGAAACCTCCCACGTGGGAGGAGGCCAAGGCTCAACTTCGGGCTGTTGCACCATAGAAGAAGAAAGTGATATATATATTTTTTATGTGATTTATTTAATGAAACTGTTAGTAACTCTGGCTATCTCCATGGTTTATATTATCTGGGCATCCATAATTAAATGCAAGTTGGCGATTTGTGGGTTACTGAAACATGTTGATGTCAGATTTACTTTGTTGCAGTAAAACTGTGGCGGATCTGAAAGTTCGGTTCCCGAATCTGCAAGAAGGGATGAAGGGTTTGCTATCATCTGAAATGGAGAAAGTTGTTAGAGAAGAAAAGTGAGTTTACATTTTTGCATCACTTCTGCCTTCATACTAAATTGTCAGTTATATATATTATTGCTTTATTACTCTTTTAACCCTTTTAGTGTCATTCTAAAGTGAACAATATGCTGTGCTTGTGTGAAGATTCACAGAGATGAAAGTGTCTGGGGTCCGTGTGTAGTAGTATACCCTTATGGCCAACAGAGTGCCATATCTTGACTTCAAGATAAGTGTTATGATTTTTAATGGTGGGCACTATTCTTCATTGTTTTGACAGAGGAACATTAAATAACATGCTCATATTGATTATGTTTTAGTAAGAAGTGATTGAAACACATATAACTTCCAGCTAGTAATCGTATGTGCTGTGTTGAAAAATATGGCATTCAAGTGATGTGTGTGCACTTATCTTTAGGGGACCAAGAAGAATTGTTCATCGGGCATGGGTAGCAACCTGGCAGTAATTTGCAGCTTACTTTTATGTACAGGTTTCTGAAGGAAGAGCCAGACAGACTGGAAAGTGCGCTGAGACGCTGCAAGAAGCTTACAGGAACACTGGTTACACTCAAAAGGTGGTGTATTATTTATACCTCTATAAGAGATGACTGCAAAGTCACACAACCAAGTGATGGTACAGTTTTATTTGCATTTAAAGCTTCCAAAAACAGCATTTTTCTAAGGTGACCACTGTCTTTTGTGATATTTGCATTTATGCTTACTTGGATGCTTGATGCAACATGATGAAGAAGTTGCTCGAGTAATTTTTTATGTATGGGACGTTTATAAATTACATCATGAATAATAGGGACGCTACAGGATGTCAGTATGAGTCAGATGGGTCCAGTGAACGTAGGTCCAAAAATTCTTCCATATAAAGTTATAGAGGGTAGAAGTTAAAAGAGCACATTATGTTAGGCTGGTTCAGCCAGAAAAAATGCACAGAGCTGTTAAACGTGGGCTAGAATCATAGGCGATCATCTCATTGGTCCATGTATTATACCAGCAAAACTTATTGGTCCCTAGTACCCACGATTTATCCTTAGACATTAACTTCAATTGTTGGAGGATGTTTCATAGCACACACATCAATGGATATGATTTTTGAATGATGGTACTCTGGCACATTTCATTGTCGCTGTACAGGAGTGGTCAGGCAGGCAGTATCCTATACTTTGGATTGGTTGTGGTTCGAAACCTCCTGTCACAGTCACCAGACCTCACTACTTGTGGGTTTCCATGAAAAATGTATTTTATGTCAATGTTGCTGACATCAGAGATCAGCTTTGGCAGTGCATGGTGGGTGCAGCAAATAAGATTTGTGTGCCACATCTGGGGTGTTTGAATGCATCCAAGCCTCATTCTGACATGTGCTAACGCGTCTTCATGCCATTGTAGGATATTTTGAGTAAATTCTGCCTCCTTCTTCTTCTTCTTCTTCTATGGCTCTCTG